AAATTTATTATCAGCCTTATATACATACATACGTACATACATACATATATGCATACATACGTACATACATACCTACATACAAACATACATACATACATACATACATACATACATACATACATACATACATACATACATACATACACATACTGTTCTGTTAACAAACGTTAAAGAATCAACATTATTAACCCATTAGTGCCCAAATCACAACCACGCTACCAAAAAGTATCAAATTTTTCAGTTAGGTAGCTATACCTAATATGAGACCCTAGCACAAGTATTTTTTTGGATTTTATTATTTGTAACAAAATGGCGGCGTGTTCCCAAATGGGAACAATGGGCACATCAACTACCATGTTCCCATTTGGGAACATCTTTTTTTTAACATAGAAATAAATATAGCAGACTTTTAATTATATGGAAAAAATGTAAAACGCAAAGAAAAATGATTTTTTTTAATCAAATGAATTTGTGAAAAAATATAGTTTAGTCAAATTTTATTAGTCATTTATTAAAACTGTTAAATTTATTGTTTTTCGTGATAATCTTTTTCACAGTGAAGATGCAATGGAACATTGCACTTGTTACATTGAAGACGTGCATTTTTTTTGCATTGTCAACATCTGGATTGCTTCCCAGATGGAACCAAATGATGACCCGTCATATCGAATCTTACATCAGGAATAGGTTGGCTATAAGGTCCTGTCATCATCTGTGCTGGTTCTTGCAGTTGCATGATTGTACGCACAATATATCTCCTGAAATCTAGATGATCAAAAGTTCCTCCCACTTCAACATGAAGTCGCCAGGCTGCTACGACAGCCATGTTTATTCCATTTATGAACAATGGCCACCACCATTTCTTGGACCTCAACATTGGTCGATAGGAAGCCATAAATCTGTCAAGCAAATCGACTCCTCCCATGTGTGTGTTGTACCTTTTAATGAGTGCTGGTTGAGGTACATCTACAGAGGCTTTCTTGGTGCTGCTCCATCTCCGAGCTTTGCCAAGTGGAAGAATATTATCATAATTTGATGCAACCATGACACATTGATTATCATTCCACTTGACCGCGATTACGTTTTTGTCACAACATGCATCATAAAATCCTCTGGCTTTCTTTCTCATTGTTTTTGAATCCATCAATGGACACTTTGTCAAACGATTTTCTCTTACTGTCCCTGTTGCTTTTATATTTTTTTCTTTCAGTGAGCTGAGCAAAGAGTAGTTGGTGAAAAAATTGTCAAAGAAAACTTCATGATCAGCAGGATTTTCAAGGCAATCTAACAGTGACATGACTACACGATGACCTAGTCCATGACTTTCATCATTTGTTGTCTGTGGTTCTTTGCCACAGTACACCTGTACATTGAATGGATATCCACTGGATGATGCTAATACCCAAAGTTTATACCCAAAACGAATGGGTTTTCCTCGTAGAAACATTTTTGCTGAGTGATGTCCAAAATAGGGTACCATTTCTTCATCAATACTAAGAAATTTATTGAAAACACCAAATTGTTGGAAACGAGTATTCAATGCAGAAATGAAAGAACGAACTTTAAATAATTTGTCTCCTTGAACAATCTTGTCATTATCTGCCAAATGAATATATCTTTTAATTTCTAGGAATCGTGATCGAGACATCTGTTCTGCCACAAATGTAATTCTTATATCTTCATCCCTATTCCAGTACATTCTTTCCCGAGGCAATGTATGATATCCAGTCAGTAAAAGTATTCCAACAAATTTGTCCAAATCTAGGTGATTAAATTCAAATTTATTATTGTTTTTTTGTCCAGCATATTTGACTGTCTCATTCACTATCATATCCCTCAACTCATTGTCATAATAAAGTTTGAAAAGATGATATGGTGATTTGGAACATAATTCTGGATATTTTGATCTTATTTTTTCTGGTGTTCCTGTTGATGATTTTCCAGTGAAATTTATTTTTTTGGTCCATTTTGGTTCTGGCTTCTTACATTTTTTATCTTTTATTTGTAATCCAACATCATTACGTGCGTCTGCTTGTTCTAAAAGAACACCAACTCTTCCAGGAACTTCATTTGGCATGTTTGATGGCAGCAAATCGTCATCATCTATCATCTCTTCATCTGAAATGCTGTCTACCTTCGTAGGAGGAAGCAACACTACATCAACTGGAGTCTGTGAATCCGTAATTGCATCTGTTGCGTCAGCTAAACGCTCAAATTCTTCAATTTCATCATCAGATTCTTCAAAATCCACATTTTCATCTGCCATAATGTTAGCAAGAACTTCTTCAGTACGAAATCTCTTCTCAGACATACTTAAATTGTAAACAATTTAAAATAAAAATTATTAAATATATCACTATAATATCATGAGAAACTAAATTGAGCACATGAGGTACTACGTTCCCATTTGGGATCATAGTACCTTATGTGCCCAATGTTCCCAATTGGGAACGTCAACACATATATCTCATTTAAAAAATAAGTTTAAGATAAACCTCTAATTTCATAATTTTAAAATATTAAGAAGTAATTGTGAATAAGTAAAAAATAGTTTAATTTAAATAAAACATAATACTTACTTGGAAATAAAATCAGAAAACAGACTAAAAACTTTTTTTAAAAATACAAAATTTTTAAAATGGCTACCAAAGCATGCGATGACAATACAAAAGACCACGTGACTGTATTGCATAGATATACTATTAATAAATATAGATTGGCCAAAACATGTAAAGCTTGTGCAAATATAAAATTTATGTAGCGCTAAATATACACGTTCCCAAATGGGATCATTGGGCGCTAATGAGTTAAAGAGAGTTAAACAAATTCATTCATGGCTCGGGTTCTTCATAGCGCAGACATGACTTCAGTTGTGATTCTGCCGCTAAAATTTGTGCTCTTCTATTAGAGACAATAATAGAATCTGTCAACATTTCACATAGCATAGTTGTTCTGAAGGCGTGCTTTCCATTCGTTCCTTCCCAATCAAGGTCCTGATCAGATCATCTGATATGAAAGTTCTTAGCAAATTCGAAGACGAAGCTACTGCTTCAACTCTGATCGCATCCAGGGCTATTATTACTTTATTCCAGAGAGAACTTTTAGACGAGAAATAGTGAGCAAATCCAAAAAACGAATTAATCAATTGACCTAATATATTTTTTTAAAATTGATTTTACAGTAATAAATTTTAATTATGACAGTGAAAAAATTATTTATTTAAAGGAATTAACGGTGAATTTGTATATAGAACTATTTTATACTATTTAAAACTAATAAAGAAATATATATTTTTCTTTGCAAAATATTCAGCAACGGTATGACCATTGAAGCAGTTGGATATCTTGTGCCAGAAATAAGCTTGGTGGCTTCCTCAAAAGGTTTAAGAGCCTTGATAAAATCGGCAGCCATTCTCCATTCTTGTGCAGTTAGGTTTTCTATTGTGTCGCTTGAAGCCAGTAACATACTCAATGCATCTTTTTGTTCTACAAGTCGTGACATCATATAATAAGTCGAATTCCATCTTGTTACGCACTCCATCTTAAGTTTGTGTGTAGGGAGATTCAACTGCCTTTGTACCACCAGTAAACGTTGTGTTGCTTTACTGCTGCGATGAAAATGTGCAACAATAGCTCTCGCTTTAGTCAGGAGCGTTGTTATCTCTTTATTGCTGTTGATAGCATCCGTGACTACTAAGTTTGTAGTGTGTGCAAAACATGTAAAATGTTGAAATGTTGCGAGCTGTTTCATAGCCGACTTCATATTAGCTGCATTGTCTGTAATAACAAAAATCGGAATATTGACATTTGGTATCCAGTCTTTTACGCATGCCACTTGTTGAATGGATTCTGCAATGTCTTTTTTGAAACTTTCATACAAACCTGGGATGATTTCTTTAGACAGTTTGTGGCGATCAGGCAACTTGTAACGCGGCTCCAAAGACTTGCTGTATGCCACAAAACCTTTATCTTGTACTATGCTGTAAGGCTGTAAGTCGGTACATATCATTTTTGCCAACGTCAAAGTAGCTGCTTTAGCTCGGGGATGGTTCGGTTCCCATTCTTTCACAGAGGTCGAATAGTCAAACATACTAGTTTGACCTTTGTTATCATCCTATAGTGACAAGATATATTAACTACTTAAATAATAATAACTTTAAATGAATATTCATTAATTTAGATTTATAACAGTTGCAATGTTTTCAATTTTTAAAATAAAGAACAAAACAAATTTTAACGCACTTTTTTTTTCGATTCTTCAACGCAAGATTTTTTGGCATTTAGTTCTTCAGACAAACTTGGATGCGTATTTTGCAAACGTTGCTTCAAGTTCGAAGTGTTTCCCGTTGGAGCCTTCACTTGCTTTTGGCATACATTGCACGTAGCATTTTCTGCATTATTTCGTGTGAAATATTCATATATAACGCTGCGTTTTTTGTATTCCTTAGTGTAAGCTTTATTACTACAACTCATACTTTCTTCTTTGTGTGTCACGTTAATAAAAAATTAAATAAAATAACTTAATCTAAATAACTTGAACTCAATCGAAAAACAAGATGGAAAACGCCCGCGTTAAAAATTCAAATTCAACCTACTTTTAACTCTAACCAAAGAAAGATAATAAAAAAATTTAAACTAAAGTTTATCGACGATCAATGAAACGATGCTATCATCATACATGTTATGTTATTTTACGTATATGGATGCTATATAGACCCAAATAAAAAAAACGGTGGAATATTTTTATTTTCCATACACGCTTTAAAAAATCGAAATCGAATTGTAGAACAATTCGATTCGATTATCGAAATCGAATCGAATTTTCGATAATCGTACCATCACTAGTAGTAGTAGTAGCAGTAATAGTTGTAGTAGTAGCAGTTGTAGTAGTAATCTAACCATTACAAATCAATCAATCAGCCGTTTAATCTAAACAACCAACCAATCAACTAACTAACTATTTCCAATCAATCAACCAACCAATCAAACATCTCGCACAGACCACTGCAAGCAGTGACCTTTGCGGGTCTGACCTTCACAACTGGGGGTCTGATACTCTTCACTTGTACCAACCCTCTGACAGCAACTCTAGGCCTGATGAACGTCGTATTATACACCCTCATTTATACCCCAATGAAGCGCACAAACATTGCGAATACCTGGGTGGGGGCTATCGTAGGAGCCATACCTCCCATAATGGGGTGGACCGCGGCCACCGGGTCACTTGACATAGGTAGGATCTGTGTATGTGTGTGTGTGCGTATGTGTATGTGCGTATTTATGTGTGTAATACTTGCTCATACACATGCATTTCTTTATACTTTATATCATATTCGTTGTAACAAATTTTTCCAGGAGCAATCCTAATGGGCGGAGTACTGTATGCGTGGCAGTTCCCGCACTTCTGTGCCCTCAGCTGGAACCTTCAATCCGACTATTCTCGAGCCGGATATCGGATGATGTCGGTTATCGACCCGGATCTCTGTAGGCGGGTCTCGCTGAGATATAGCCTAGCGTTGTCCGGTTTAACCTTACTATTTCCGGTTGGTAACGTAACGACGTGGACTTTTGCAGTTGATTCACTTCCGTTAAATTTGTGTTTAATTTATCTGGCGTTTAATTTTTATCGAAAGGGCGATAGCTCGTCGTCTAGGAAGCTATTTCGTTATACCTTGGTGCATTTGCCGCTTCTACTGGTGTTTATGATTATTAGTAAAACCCATTTTGGCGATGATGACGTCAGTAAAGATGGCGGTGCGAATGATGGTAAGATGGTAGAGGTGAGAGTTGAGTGAGGTGTGTGACTGACTGATTGATCGGTTGGTTTGTTGTATGATAATGGGTTGGTTGGCTGATTGGACGAATGATTGGTTGATGATTTGTTTGTCAAACGATTGATTAATTAATTAATTAGTTAATTAAGTCATTGATTATGTCATTGATTTAGTGGATGATTGATTGATTTATTTATTCTTTTTACGTTTTTGGCGGGTTGAAGTTTTCATTATCAAAATTTATCATGAACGTTAACGATCATCAATTTTTTTTAGTTTAAAATATTATTATTACTGTTATTATTATTATTATTGCTTATTCATTTATTAATATACTTCACACGCGCAATCAATCTCACATCTAACTTATATATGATATATACACTCTTAGTAGAAGCATAGTTTGATTGACAAGCTGGTTTTCGTACATGTATTCTCACACACATATATATGCGTGTGTGTGTTTGTGCGTGTCGATCAAATGATTGATTGATTGATTGATTGATCGATTGATCGATTGACCTGATTTCTACATAAGATTAACAACTAGATATAGAAGTCGTTTGAGGTAGTCATCTTGCCAAGATAACGTAGCATGACATATCATACACACACAGACAAAAACACACACACACACACACATATATATATATATATATATATATATATATATATATATATATATATGTAATTATGATTCTCAAAGCTATACAATTAACCAAGAAACTAATGAAATGTTAATCGCTGTTATACTGTTTATGTTATTTTTGTTAATGTTGTTATTATTATTTGTATTTTAATTATTATTAATTATTATTGATTAATGATTTATTTGTATGCATATATGCGTATATACAATGATCTTTTAGTTTAACGTTCATTATTTGAAAATAGATTTCTATAAGAAATGCTACTGTTTGTCTGAAGATGCGTGTGTGTGTGCGTGTGTGTGTGTGTGTGTGTGTGTGTGTGGTTCACTTTTAGTTTTTTTTTTGTATCGCTGCTACGCTGCTAACTAATGTATATATAAATCTGTTGTAAATAGTCTTAATTGTCTCTATTATTCGAATGGAATAAAATATCAAATATGTTTAGTCATCTTTGTGTTTGTCTGAATGAATGAATAAATGAGTGAGTGAGTGAACGAACGAACGAATGAACATATATCTAAACCGCTGTCAAGAAGAGATTTTGTTCTGGAGAATGAATGTTCCACTGTTTTCAAAAAATTTGCAAACTAGAAATAAAGATGAATTGATGAATTAATTAATAAGTGGATGAATTAATAAATGAATGAATGGATGAACAAATAAATGAAGGAACGAAATAAAAATATTTTGTTAGTAAGACTTCTTGCATTAAAAAAAGCATCTTTTATTTATCACTTTATCACACACAACATCCGAAGTGTTTACGTATATTCGATTTTCTTGGGTCATGTGAATGGTACTTTGTGGTGGTTTTCTGCGTGTGTGCGTGCGTGTGTGTGTGTGTGTGAAAGATTGAAAGATGACAGTGTCAGACGAAAAAGTGAAAGATGCGAGAGATAGAGACAGATACACAGAAGTACGGACTTTATAACGTCACATACACGCACGCATATTATTTATATAACAAGACTTCTCTTGATAGCTGTTTATAATTCTAGGCACAAATTTGCTCTTTAAACATGTAAATTATTATCTTCTTCGTACAAACGGTTTATTGCTGTTGAATTCTAAAGTTGGAAACTGTTTCGAAGTAAAAACGCTACTGTGGTTTGAAAAATAATTTATAGTTATCTTTCTCTATTTCTTATTCAATTGGATTCAAGATTAATTAATTAGCTTCAAGTTTATAAAACTTTGATTCTTATTGGAATATTGTATGTATGTATCGTAATAAGTAATATATTAAAAAACATTAGAAGACCATCAACAACAACAACAATACTAACATAAACAACAATAGCACTGGCCAGTCAATAACGACACTGATAATAATATCCATTATCTCAACTCATCCACAATTTTGACAATGGCAACTCTTGAAAAGAACTTAAATGAAAAATCACAAAAACATCAAATTACCAAAAACACCGAATGTGAAACTGTTTCTGCTGGCAGAAGACAACTTTTGAAAGCTTATCTAGAACTGGCTAAATTTCGTTTAACTGGTTAGTTGATAAGAAAATGGTTATTTGAATGGTTTACCAGATAGCTCTTGCGATAAAATCGCCGTGTTTCACATTGTCGTTGTAGTCACTGCGCAGTGGTCTGGTTCGATTACTGGCTGGACGAAATTTATAGACTTTTTATAGACTCTTTTATAGATATGATGATTGTATTTAACTAATAATATTCGTTGTTTTATAATAAAAAATTAATAATTTAATATTAGTTAAATTAAGTTTTACTAAAACTGATGAAAAAAAGTTAAAATCTTCATTCAAAACTGTAAGCCCTTGTATCGATGTCCGCCATAGCCGGGTACGGCATGGCTCCCACGAATCCTGGATTTGTGTCATTCCTATCGTGCGCTGTGGGGACGACCTTGACCTCGAGTGCTGCCAACAGTATTAATCAGGTGAGGTCAAAGGTCAATTGTGGTCAGGTCAGATGAACGGTGTGATAAATTTTTCTGTTCGAAGTTTGCTCACACAATGGATCTGTATTTTTGTATCTCCTATTATCGTAATTATTTTTGTAAATACAAACTACAATTTCAATGATATTAATTAGAACTAATTAATCAAATTTTTAACTAATTAAATTATTAAGAACTAGTTAGATCGATGTTAATATTTAATGTACTTTAATAACCAACCAGTATTTGGAAGTTGATTTGGACGCGCGTATGAACCGAACGAAGAACAGACCAATCGTCCAAAAAATTCTTGGGTTTGTAACATAACTTTGTTTCGCATAGTTTATCTAATGATTTATTCATATAATTGATTGATTAATTAAATAATCGTGTTTCATACCAAATCTATCAACCAATCAGACGCAAGCAAGTTATGAACTTCGCCTTTCTCTGCGGTTTCATTGGAGGTTTAATTCTGTGGGCGGGATCAAACGGCTTGACGTCATTTTTAGGGGTGTCCAACATCTTCCTGTACACGCACGTATATACCCCGATGAAGCGTACGAGCGTGGCAAACACCTGGGTAGGGTCCGTAGTGGGAGCGGTACCTCCCATGATGGGGTGGACCGCCGCCACAGGAAGTTTGGGACTGGGTGGGTTAAATGTTTGAGGGTGATTAAAATTTCGATCAAGGATCAAAAATAGAAAATGAGTTTTTTTTATTATTATTTTGATTTTAACAAATGAATTTTAAAATAAATAACAATTAAAATGAGATTAATAAGAATTAATTAACTAAAATGTTAATCGTTAAAAATAAAAACAAAATTTTTTCATTAATTTGGTTTTGATTGCAATAAATAAATTTTCCCAAAACAAACATTTTTTAGGTGCTTGGCTACTAGCAGGGGTTCTCTTCGCCTGGCAATTTCCACATTTCTGCTCTCTCAGTTGGAATTTGAGAGGGGACTACGGCAAAGCGGGCTACAAAATGATGTCCGTGGTCGACCCGCAGCTTTGTAAAAATACCAACCTTGAGTTCAGCATTTGTCTAATGTTTATCACGGTGGCTTTCCCCATTTTTCAATTGACAACTTGGACGTTTTTTGTTCTGGCGCTACCCCTTAATTTGGGACTGGTTGAGTTGTCGTGGCGTTTTTATAGGAATGGGACGAATCCGGATTCTAAAGTTTTGTTTAAGTTCACTCTGATACATTTGCCGCTGTATTTTGCGTTGATGTTTTTGTTTAAGCTGGGATAAAAGTGTGTGTGTGTGTGTGTGTGTGCGCGCGTGTTTGTGTGTATGTGTGTGTGTCTTTATTTATAAGCGTATATTGGAATCCGAAAAATTATTCAACTATTTTACACTGAACACAATTTTTTTAAACTGACTACGGTTTTGTTAAATAACAAACTGAATAAATTTCGTTCGCTTATAACTTCTAAACGACCAATTCTTAATCTTTCCCAAATCTATACTAATCAGTCTATCCATCCATCCATCCATCCATCCATCCATCCATCTCTCAATTGCTCTTTTGGTTTTCAAACCCACACCCTACAACAACAGTAACAAGCACCTTTACCATTAGACTATCTTGCGGCCGTGTAACTCGTTGGAAAAACACACAAAGTTCAAAAACTTCACCAATTATTATATGCAAAACATTCACCTCACACGTCACGTGCATGGTTCAAACTGCACGCACGTGTGTTCGTTGTTTGTGAAGGTTCGTTGATGATTGAAAACAGCAAATTTTCGTGTTTTATCACACACAAACACACGTGCACACATATTATACACACCACACATACACAACACACACTTGCTACAAATATGTTTGTTTACTCATTCGTTTGTTCGTTCGTTAAGTTCGTACGTTCGTTCGTTCGTTACTTATTCATTGTTATACAATCACGTATGCATTGGCATAATGTTAAGTCAAAAACCTTTATAAAAAACTTGTAACCTTAAGACTTAAGTAATTTTTCAATAAACATCGGTAAAATTAAAAATTATATTAGTAATGCTACTACTACTACTACTTTTTCAATTACTATTACTACTACTACTACTGCTACTTCAATAACTACAACAACAACTAATACTACCACTGCTGTTGCTGCTACTACTACTATTAATAATAATAATAAAATTATGTTATAATAATAATAATATTATTATTATTATAACAATTAAAAAGATACAAAAGCCAAATGTCTAGAATGAAATGGAATTGGATGACCTAAATATAAGAATACTTAGATGTTAATGATATGTTACTACGCTTCAAAATTGTGTGTGTGTGTACATGTGTGTGCGTGTGTGTGCGTGTGTGTGCGTGTGTGTACGTGTGTTTAAGTATATATATATATATATATATATATATATATATATATATATATGAGTGTTTAAAACATTTAAATGTCTGGTTAACTCTCGTCACTTGGTTTGTTTGTTTTTTTTGTGCCGAAGAAAATTTTATGAAAAAACTTATTTGAAAGAATTTTTTCTGAAATTATCTGACAAAGATGGATGGCGGTACTATGAATACGTCGCCACTTACATCAACTCTACACTATCCGCTTATCGAAACAACCTTTCTGATAATAATCCTATCAGTTTTTATCAAGATATCCATATCATTCGTCTATCAATATATCCACCGAATGATATCAAACTATCGGAGATACAGAATGATACCTGGCCCAAGCGGGTTGCCGTTTTTCGGTTGCGCGTTTCAGCTGGATCGGAAGAAACCGTTTGAAACTTTTATGAATTGGGCCGGGACGTACGGAGAGGTTTGTTTGGTTACACTGTTCGCCAGGAAAATACTGTTACTTAGTAGTAGCAAGGTTAGATGGGGTGTATTTTTCTTTCTTCAAACTAACCATTCAAAGTAATGTTTTTCAATGTGTATTTTTTATTACATATAGTATTAATAGTATGATAGTATTTACATTTCTCTATCTCACAAGCACATACAATACATACATATAGGTAATTCAATAGCAGCTTCGAACACCTAGACGTAATAGAAATAGAATGAAAATAACATAAAACACGCTGTATACCAGTACCAGTGTAATATGTATTATACTCCACACAAATGAATTATCTTGCACAGGTATTGGAAGAGGCGTTGATAACCCGGGGCAAAGATTTCTCGGGCCGCCCTGCCCTCTTCTACAGGGCAAAGTTCATGTCAGACGGGCACGAAGACATCGTATCGACGTCACCCTGCCCAGTCTGGAAAGTTCTCCGCAAGGGGCTCCAGCGAGAGATGAAGAAATACGACCCGAGCCAGCGCAGGATCGAATCCATAATAAACCTAATTCTGGATGAGTTGATTAAGGAGTTGGCGGATACGAACGGCGTCCCGATTGATCCCAGAGAGGCAATTTTCACATCCCTTATCAACATAAATTGTCTCTTCATGATCGGCAATAAATTGGATTACGGAGGTGAGAAACTGGAGAAGGTGAAATCGTTGGTTACCATCGTGTCAACTGTGATGAATATAGGTGGAGAGGGAACGGAGTTATATTTTTTTCCATGGTTGAGATTTTTTGGGAATAAAACTTTTGCGAAAATTGTGAAAGCTAAAGAGTTGAGAAACGATGTCTACAACTGGATGCTTCAGAAGATGAAACATGATTTGGAGTGCAGTTAGCTTTTGGAATGACATTTTTATTACGATATGTTTTATGCGTTTTAAAAATTTTCTTAGATTCATTTACTTTCAAGATAAAATTTAAAAGGCAATTTTATTTTAAATAACTTTTTACAAATTTTTCTTGCAAATTTTTTGGCCAGACACTGGCGAAGAAGGGATCATGCATTTTTTTTACAAACTCATCTTGAAGAACCAAGACCTTCTGCGTGATGACCACCTCAAGCTAGTTATGACAAACTTGCTAATAAGTTAGAAAATTCCGAAAAATTGAAATAAAACATCTTTAGATATAAATAATTTATATCAATAATTTGAAAAAAATGTTTTAGATGTTAAATAAAGTAATTTACGACTTTGTCATTATTTATATAGGTTGTGATATTTTAATAGTTTTTCATCAATTCTTCATCCATCCATCCATCCATCCATCCATCCATCCATCCATCCATCCTTCCATTCATCAACTTGTTCAGGGGGTACCGCCTCATTCAACTGTTATTTTTACTTCCTCGTCAACATTCTGGCTCATTACCCCAACGTTCAGGAACTTATCCACAGAGAAATTGTCAATGTCATAGGTCACGGTAAAAGTCGGAGACCCAGTTTGACCGACAGACCCAAAATGCCTTACACCAGAGCCACTATATGTGAAATTTTCAGGTTCATAAAAATTGTTTAAACTTTTTTGAAGTTAAATTTTCTTCATTTAATTAAAAAATTTGTAAAAAAAATTTTTTTAATTAAAAATATTTATGACTAAACATTTTTTGTCAAAATTATAACCTCAAAATAATAAAAACAGTAATTATTATTATAAATATTCCTTCAACTATTCCGAAAAGACTCGGAAGCATGAGTCCAATCATGAATCGGCAAATACGATATACCGATCGGTACAGCGGTATTTCTCATGCCGCGCTACATCCATCACAACCCTGATCTATGGAGAGACCCTTTTCATTTCGACCCCACAAGGTTCATCGATCCACAGACTAATGATGTTTTTGGCAGTAAATCAACAGTGCTAAGAAATTTGCTGTCATTCAGTCGGGGGCCAAGAGCTTGTCTAGGAGGACCCTTAGCAATGGCAAGATTCTTTCTCATGGTGACTAATTTGGTTCAGAATTTTACAATGGAACCGCGGAGTAGCGATGCCCATGATTTGTCATCCTGCGATCCGAGGAATGTTGAGTTGGGACTGGTTTCAAGACCCCCCAGTTATTCTGTGAGGTTCATCGCAAGGTCATGATGCATGTGGAATGTGGATGTAGGTGGCATGATGATCGCTGACTACTATTTATTGTTTTGACGGATGTGGCTTTTCAAACAAACGAGCGAGTTTTTTTTTCGAGTTTTCATATTAATGTTATATTATAAAAATCATAAAAACTATTAATTTTATTGTAAATTATTACTTTATACACTGACCTACAAGCATTTATTTTGTTTTTTTTTAACAAAAATATATTTTTTTTATATAGAAATTTGTTTGGAATAAAATCTGTCTTCGTTATATTCGTTGTGTTCGGATTTTATTTTAATTTATATTGGTTGGATGATATTAATCTTTGTTGGTGAATAGTTTCTGATATATCATTATTATATCTCAATATGATTATCTAAATATCACTTGCTGCAGGAATTGAACTATACTACGGTTTTCGTCACGCCGTGTAAACATCCTTGAACTGTTATAAGCTAAATTTGTGTAAGAATCAAAATAGCATTAAACATTTGAAAATATTTGAATTCGTTTGAATTGAAAGATAAATCACACGTGTGTTATTATTATTATTAAGAAATAACGCCTGACAAAACCCCTTGCCCATAACTATAAAACAATATGTCAATCATGATATAATAATATGTTATGTCAATAATAATTATTAATATACATGCATATATATATATATATATATATATATATAAATGTGTGTGTGTGTGCGTACGTGTATGTATGTGTACTTGTGTATGTGTGTTTGAGTGCGGGTACATCTAATGAACACGTTCAATAACACACCAATCCGATCAAGTAAAGTAGTTAGGATCTCCTCCGGATAAACTTTGCAGTAAAACTCGGCGGATTCGTAACCAATCCCAATTCAAAATTCCTCGGGTCACATTTCGACACGTCTCCAGCATCCTGATCTGCGGGCTCTATGATAAACCTCTGAATCAAATTCGTCGCCATGAGAAAAAACCTCGATGTGGCAATCGCCTCGCCAGGACAGCCCCGTGGACCGGCCCCAAACGCCATCAAATTTCTTTGTACTTCAGATTTAGGACCGTAGATGTCGTTAGTTTCGGGGTCGATAAATCTCATGGGGTCGAAAGTGTAAGGGTCTTTCCATAGATCAGTGTTGTGATGGATGTAGCGCGGCATGAGAAATACCGTCGTACCGGCCGGTATATCGTATTTGCCGATTTTCGTATCGGTTATGGTGCTGTGTGGAATTGTGATGGGGCTGATGCTGCTGAATCTGGAGAATGGAGAAGAATAATTTTGTTAGAGACAAAATGGAAAATATAAAACATTATTTCGAATAATCGGTGAATTATTTGGAAATGAAAAGATTATAAATAATGCTTTGGATTTTGGTTTAATATAATCAGGTGTCAAAGGTTATTGCTAGCTCTTTATAGATTCAATAAAATCAGATACATTTTCATAACGGAAAAATAAATTTCAAAAAACTATTGTTAGTGTAACAAGTCTCAGTTTGATTCGCTATCAATTTCGGGGTTTAAAAATTTTTCGAGTGGTACAATTTCTAAAGAATTAGATTAATCAAATTAAACAAAATAAAATATTCGATCAAAAACAATTGCAGATGTGTGTCTGTGTGATGCGTCTATTCGCTTGTATGTAAATTGAAACGGAATATAAAACAAAAAATTAAGAAATATACCTAAGTAGTTCACATAACGTAGCCCTGGTGTATGGCATTTTCGGTCTGTCGGCCAAACTCGGCCTTTGACCTTGACCTATGACATTGACAATTTCTCTGTGCATTAGCTCCTGGACGTTGGGGTAATGAGCCAGGATGTTGATGAAGGAGTAAAAGTAACTCCTAGATGAGGATGTGCTTCCTGAATTAGTGGATAGATGGATGATCGTTCAGTTAGTCATTCATTCCTTCGTTCGTTCATACTTTCATTCATACTTTCATTGATTCATTCGTTTGTTCGTTCGTTCATTCATTCATTCATTCATTCATTCATTCATACTTTCATTCAATTGTTCAATCATTCATTCACTCATCCTCCAATCAACTAATTTTCATTCATCTATTCAACTTTTAAGCCATCCATTATTCCGCCCAAGCACAAATATTAACTTTCACCACTAAACTTGGTTTCCCCAGTGAAGTAACAGTTAAGATGCCTGGCCCTAACATGCAGTGAGCTGGTTCGAATGCCTGTCTTAACCTCTGAGAGAGAATTGTGGAAAAAAAGTTGAAATAACCATCCTATACATAGATGAAACTGGCATGCATCAAAGTTAAATTTCATGCAGCAAACATTAGCAGTAGCAGAAAGAATTAAGATAGGACAATATTATGCAGACTTGTGATCATCATAAGTTTGGTTAAACTTTTAAACCCTGCACGCAACCTACACAAAACAGACTGCCTTGTTTACAAATTAAATCACAATCACTCCTGTACCTTAGCATTTGATACATACATACATACATACATAAATACATACATACATACATACATACATACATACATGCATACATGCATACATGCATACATGCATACATGCATACATGCATACATGCATACATGCATACATGCATACATGCATACATGCATACATGCATACATGCATGCATGCATGCATGCATGCATGCATGCATGCATGCATACATACATACATACATACATACATACATACATACATACATACATACATACATACATACATACATACATACATACATACATACATACATACATACATACATACATACATACATACATACATACATACATACATACATACATACATACATACATACATACATACATACATACATACATACATACATACATACATACATACATACATACATACATACATACAACAACAACAAGTGAAAACTTCTGATCTCCTAGTAATTTATTTTTGTGATATTTTGCTGAATAAAAGATTGTTTCAATTCAAATAAAAATTTTTTTTATTAAGATTGTATACTATAAGCTTTTTATGGCGCGCGTGTGTGCGTGTGTGAGTGTGCATATCAACGATACCATATTAATCGCATTGTACACAAACACACCACACACACACACGCACACACATACACACCACACCCGCACACACATACACACACACACACACACGCACATACACACACACACACACCACACACACACACATCTTAAGAGTTTGGTCTTTGAACTTTTTCCAAAAAAAAATGTTTTATGCTAACATGAGAAAGATTAGTTATAATAATAAATAATAACGTTGAATAATAATAATATAAATAATAATAAATAATAATAATGTTTAATATTTGTTTAAACGTTTATTAGAACAGATAGAGTTGTTAACTTGGCATAAAAATAAACAGACCTATCAGCAAATTTGTCATAACCAGCTGAAGGTGGTACTCTTGCAATAGTGGCTGATTGTCCAAAATGAGTTTGTAGAAACCATGCATGACTCCGAACTCTTTGGAATCTTTTGTATGTATTTGTATGTATGTGTGCGTATGTTTGTATGTTTGTTTGTATGTGGTTGCTGGTTTGTTTTGTTTGTATGACTTTGTGCGCGTGTTATTACCTTCACGTTCGTGTATGTTTATTATGTTTGTACGTGTCTGTATGATTTGTTTCAATTTATATTATGTCTCTCTCTTTCTCCTCTCTCTCTTTCTCTCTCTCTCTCTCTCTCTCTCTCTCTCTCTTTCTCTCTCTTACGTAAAAATAATCATCAAAATATTGAAAATGCTAGAAATTATACAAAAAAGCTAACTGCTTTCCAGATCGTGTTTCATCTTTTGGAGCATCCAACTGAAGACATCATTCCGCATCTCCTTCGCCTGGACCAACTTCGCAAAAGTTTTATTTCCGAAAAATCTCAACCACGGAAAGTAATCCAGTTCCGCTCCCTGCCCTCCTATGTTCATCACTGTCGAAATGATCCGCACCAAGGATTTCACCTTCTCCAGTTTCTCACCTCCGTAATCCAACTTATTCCCGATCATGAAGAGACAATTCATGTTGATGAGGGATGTGAAAATTGCCTCTCTGGCATCAAACGGGACGCCGTTCGTATCCGCCAACTCCTGAATCAACTCATCCAGAATTTGGTTCGTGATCGATTCGATCCTTCTCTGACTCGGATCGTACACTTTCATCTCTCGCTGGAGCCCCTTGCGGAGAACTTTCCAGACTGGACAGGGTGACGTCGATACGATGTCTTCGTGCCCGTCTGACATGAACTTTGCCCTGTAGAAGAGGGCAGGGCGGCCCGAAAAATCTTTGCCCCGGGTTATCAACGCCTCTTCGAATGTCTACGGCGGGTGTTTTTTGGTGCATGTGGAAAAAAATTTTATCAATATTTATCCGATAATTTGTTTGCTGGTTTCAATGATGAAATGTTTGTAATGCTATTTGTAATAGAGTAATATGGTAAGTACAGTTTCTTACCGTAGTAGTATTAATAAGTACATAATTAACTTTTGGATTATAAACTTCTTGAATGTAACACCCTTATTTGATTGATACGTTATTGAAAATACTTCAAAGTAATTTTAAAATAGCACGTACTAAAAAATACTAGTAACCAAACGAAAGACAAACAAACAAACAAACAAAAATGGAAGAACAAACAAACGAACCTCAGTACTACTAAGCAAAAGAATTTTTTTCCCAAACAGTGTCACCAAACAAATTTCCCCATACTCATTGGCCCATTTCACGAACGTCTCAAAGGGCCTTTGCTTGTTCATCTCTAGGGCCGACCCAATGAAGGGCCATCTTTTGGGTCCCGGTATCAATTTATATTTATTGTAGTTAAGTATGGCTCGCTTAATGTAGTCGTAAGATGATGATTTGAGTAGTTTGATGAAGGTTACCGTGACTATGATGTAGATTATTGGCCAGATCATTGTGGGGTTTATAAAATAAAATGTCGTTTGTGTGTTTTCGCTTTTTCCATTCATTTTATTCTAAATAATTTTAACAATATTTTGAAAAAGAAATAAATCAATTAAAAAGTTTGTTAGTATTTTATTTCGAAATTATATTTAAACAATTGAAACAAATCTTACAAATATTTAAAAACATTTGAACAAAAATTCACTCAACTACAAATTATCCACACGCAAGAGAGAACAACGACGTCTGTCAAATTGATGGATGCACACAACCGCTTAAACTGCAATGCAGAATGTAGCCCAGTGTTTTCAATTTTCTCACACACACACACACACACACACACACACACACAGAAAGAGAGAGAGAGAGAGA